GAATTGGAAACATTGTGAGTCTATTCCTGTCGAAAATGTCGCAATCACCATTGCAAGTAGCGCAACCACAAAGCTCTGCACAAATGTTTATATTCAAAAATCAGCAAATTACTTTTGGATGAAACAGAAGAAAGGGAGTGTTGAGAAGTTGAAAGAAAGCTTTACAATGATGGTAAGCCAGTCTGTTCTGTTCGAAGCTGCTGCTTTTCTGTTGCAACTTTCGCCCACCGGTTCACTGCATCAACATTTTTTGGGATGAACCAAGTTACAATTAGAGGTCTTCAACATCAAATAAACACTAATATAGTTCTACTACTAATTCAAGCTTCTTATCAACTTGTATGCCTTCTAGGTTTTAGATTCAGAACTTAAATTAGAAGAGGGTGAATTACATGTAGCCATGTAGACATGTTAATATTTATGTGTTTAACCGAATATACAATGGAACTCCTTTCGAATTTTTATCAAAAAAAAAAAAAATAACTCCTTTTAGAATTTATTTGGAAATTTTTTAGATCTCTATTCAAATATTTATATTTTTATTAGAAACATAAAATTTGAGGAACGTTTCTATTCCATTAGTTTGAGGAACCTACATCTTTCGATTCGAATTCTAGAATCCCTAAACCGTCAAAAGCAATTCCTTAACCGAGAAACCCAACCCAAAAGCGTTACTGACTCACATAAGTCTAGAACCCTAAAATTACAACCCCTAAACCATTCATCATCATCATCTTTCCCTTTGCTTGGAGCTTTAACGCTCATGGAAACTGAGCTCTCCGTTGCTCCTACTTCACGACTTGAAGCAACCGGCTCAGGCTCTGACCTTGACTCTGTCTCAGCTACAAGACAGGTCTGTATCTTGTCTTTCTTGAACCTCAAAATATCGTTCAAGACACAGAAGCCGTTGTCTTGTGGAGCAAGAAGAAACGTTTGAGTGAACTTGTTCCTCACGTTATCCATTGACGTACACAATAACACCACCATTCTCCATAGGATATGGTAGACCAAGTGAAGTTTCAATCTCAGCCGTGTAATCTTCGAATCTCACAGCATCAAACTCATCTTTCACCTCTTCCTTTGTCCAAACAGGTTTCTTGACTTTGGTTGCAGAATAAAGACGGTTAAACAGAACGGAACCATCATAGAACATATGAAGAAACTGAGGTGATTCGTTAAGATTATGATAGTATTGCTTCACAAAAGCACGACTAACAATCTCTGCATTAGTCTTCTCTTCTGACATATTCTCCATGGACTGAGACAGAGATTAGAAGCTTCGAAAAACAGAGTAGGAAGGAAGATGATGAATGGTTCTATTGGCCTAACTTCTCCACCATATATATATATATTGTGATAAAG